TATGTAGAAATTTATTAAAAAGAGTCTTTTTGAGCTCTTCCATAAAGGTTTTGTTTTTTATAGTTAAACACAGCATGGCCTCATCCACCCCTGCAGAGAAAACATAAAAATATCCAAAGTCAACACCAGCTAGCTCCATCTGTAATTGAATTTGATAGTAGTAGCGATGATTTTCCCTCATTTTGTACTCAGGATCAATAGGAAACTTATTATCTTCAGCCCATCCTTCAAAGCTGTCCTTATAATTGTAAGGGCATTTTATTTCCAGCACTCCCCTTCCATGACAATCACAGCTCACAATTCCATCAGGAGAAGCACCTAAATATGGTATTTCAGCATTAATCAACAGTCCAGCTTGCTCAACTTTGAAATTTGTATGCTTCATACCTTCCTCTTTTTCAAATTTTTCTCGTGCAACAGGTTCCATCTGCTTTCCATGGGCTGTGTATTTTGAGGAAAAGCCTGGCCTGTATTGCATAATCGTTTCAATAAGGGATTGACTGTCCCTCATTCTGGCAACATTCTTCACTGTCGAGCCTGTTATTCTTCCAGCTCTATGCAACATCCATTCTTTTTTTGCACTCTGATCTTTGGTTTTCCAAAAAAGATTGTCATAGGACTTCTGAAAGTTCCTTTCACGATATTCAGTATACAACTTTCTTCCATGCACTTGTAGGTCCTCATCTGTCATATTAATAGCTGTAGGGTCAAAAAGACTTGTTAGTGGTTCCGGTAATGTGTAAGCGCTGTTTTCTATATCAGTGTCTGTCTCACTACCAGAACCAGATATCATTTGTGCATCTTTTTCAGAAGACTGAGCCTCATTGTCCTACAATGGCAAACTAGTAAACACAGCTGCTTTTGGGTATATTTTATGAAGTTTTTTTAGCATATGCACAGAAATGGCATCTTCTCCAACTGTTGGGTCCAAACAGCTATAGTTCTTGTATTCTGTAATATTTGTCTGAGGCTTTGGCAATGTCTTCTTTCTTGGTTGGCTAAAGTCAATAGAAGAGAGAGGAGCAGGTATGACATGTTTCTTTGAAGATTTCCATGCACATAACAGGCTTGTTGACGCTGTTGGCTGGTTCAAACGGAAATGGGCTGCAGCTTCAAGTTTAAACAAAAGAGCAGCTATAAGACTGCAAGCTGATCCTAGCCCAGCCATACATGTGCAATTTGCTGTTAAGATCCAGCCATGCAACTTGTTTAGACAAACCCAGACATTGTACATTGATGTCTTTTTGCCTTGCCTCTGGCTAGGTAATACCTAAAATAAAAGCCATTTCATAATGGGTGATGTGCACCAAACAGTTTCAAGATATCAAAGAATAAATGTATCTTTAAACAGGAGTTTGAGACTAAAATTAATACCAAACTTGAAAATGCAGAATTGTGTATTTCTTTACTGAAGATGATGTTTACAAAGTTTGGTTTTTGTGTGTTTTATAATCAAGTAGTTTATAATCATTTATTGCCATCTTTTGTAGATTCGCTGCACATAGACCTACCAATAGTTTCAATTTCCTAATCATTAATTATCACAATAAACAAGCTGAGAAAATTAAAATAAGAACATACCTCAGATTTAACGAAACAGAACTCTGAAGCATCTGATATTTTGTGGTAAAAACAGTCCTGTACATGTTTGCACACAAAGTAGTCATAGGCTTCAAGTGATTTGTAGGCTTTCATGGACTCTTTGCTGAAGTTGCTGGGTGAATCAATTAGGTACTCAGTAACATCTCTCCAAGAGAGCTCCGGTAGGTTAGCGATATCGTTGCTCCATTCACTTTGAAGTATGTATGGATCAGGAATTGCTTCGCCGCTGCTGAGAGTGAGTTTCGCTCTGTAGTTAGCCTTCTCAGTTGCATCTAAACTTTCGTAATAATTCGAAGTCATTTTCATTCGATATCGAATTTCTTCTTAAACTTCAAAGATGCTGTATCAATTTATAGGATTGAAACCGCATGGTACCTGGTGGAAACAGCCGGCAAACACTGCGTGGATAGGGAAAACAGCTGTCCTATACAACGCGGACGCCATGCTTCAATTTTTTTGCAGCACAGGATGCGCGCGCATTTTGTTTACAACTTTGTTCTACGTCACGGTGCAAGGGGTCTATGCGTATGTTCATTGTATCACAATCACACATATTAACTGCTTAATTTTTTTCAAATCAAACAATTGTGAACATTATCATTGTGAAATTAATTATATCAACTTTGTATATAATAAATTGTAAATACTTGTTTTTTTTTCAATCAAAGGCGTGCTGGCATGTGCCAGGCTCAAACGGGAAAAAAAGTGATCAAGAAGGCATTTCTTCCAGGGTGAGGCCCTTCCATTGCAGTTTGTTGGGCTGATCCCTGTGATTACCCCAAACGTGGGTAACTCAGCCGCACAATTTCTGGTAGTGGGGACCTGCTTTCGCTCTAGTCCCCTCACAATTGTCTAGAGAGTCCAGCCAACCCGAGCAGAATCCCACAAGCAGTTCCTCAAAAAAAGCCGCCCGTTGCGCCTTCTTGATCACTCACAATATCACAATAGAGCTAGATTGTCATAGAAAGATTTGTGATTGTTTGCTTTGCCTTTGTCTGCCTTAACCTGGCTCGTCTTCTGTTGCCTTGAATATGATGCTTTCAGAACATTTCAGAGATCTTTTCTGAAATATTATGGCTTTAGCATGCCTATCTTGTAGCATTTGATAAAAAAGGCCAAATTAATTCAAGTTCAACAAAGAAAAAAATTTTCCTGTCCAAAAACATACTTCGCAACTTTCAGAGCAGCATTTTCCCAACTGAGTGCCACCTTCCTATATTAATCTCAATGAATTAGTTTTTATCGGGTGGTCATCTTTTACTCTGCACTACATAATGCAGTTTCCTTCCTATACTAACTTTCTTATCAAACCCTTACCCAGAGTAAACCTATATCTATCTGTCAATAAAAATACACAGAGATGGTTGATGCAAATATGGTCTGGCAATGGTTGATGCAAATCTCAAGCAAACCTATCTTCAATTCAAATTCGAATTCATTTAATGCAGCAAAATATGTTATAGAAGTTTGTCTATAATTATTGCCCGCAACTCGCGCGCGATAGCGCGCGAGTGAAGGGCTTATAGTCTGCCCCACGTATAAGTAGCATATGGAAGCTTCAGTTCATGTTGTCAGCACTTTTTCAGCAGATTTTGTCACTTTTCTGCTGCCATGACAACTGTCAATCAATTTCATTGTCAATCAATCGGCTTTGTCGAGGAGGTCGTTAACCGCCGCCTCTTTGCGCGGAAGGGAATTATCTTCGGAGCGTTGCTCTGCCAAGACTCTGTTAAAGGCCTTCGGTTTTTTTGGCACGAAAACGGTGCTGCATCACAGCTCTGTTCTCCGCAATGGATGGAAGTTTTGATTCGAAGTTTTGGGAATCAAAACCAGTCGAATGCCACACTTTTCTCCCAAAAACTCGAGACCGTACGAGCAAAAGTTATGATTGTCGTGATTATCGAAAAATAAATGTCAAACCCTCGAAAAACTTCATGATTTTCAAAAGGGCGTTGGACTTAAATCAAAGGCAAACTGAACACCAAAAATTCTTGATAAAAAGAATAGTTTAGCATCAACTAGAGCAGCTGTTTTTATAGAATTGTGAAAACCCAAGATGGTGTCTTCTTCGAATATCCTGACCTACATTTTCAAAACAATCATTATAAAGGAACTAATTGTTTGCGGGCAGTACTAGCAAGAGCTATTTCTAGTACTAAATAGCAATAATCAAAGAGCAATGATGATATAAGCTTCTTTGTGTCAGTTAACATTTAAGAATTACAAACTTGGTAAAATCAATTGACAAAGAGCTCCGCAAACAACAAGGAAGACTTGTTGAGAGTCTGATGAAGACATGAGATACCCAGGTACACGAGAGACATAAGAAGCGATACCACAGAATAGAAATGACCATCATGGAGGTGTTGGAAGCAACCTAACTCAGCCTACACAGAATTACAAACGTTTGAAGGCCCACATTGCATGTCCAAACATTCTACAGAGAAAATAGATGAATTTACATTCTGAAAGTTGGTACTATTTCATCAAGGTTGGAGAGAGCTGTGGCTACATATTGCAAAAAAAAGAACCAATGATGGGTACAAGAGGTACGTTCTCTAAACTACTTATCTGGCTAAAGTTTAAACTTTGCTTTTGGTTTGAATGAATATCAAAGTTCACTTGAACATTTTTGAAAATCTTGAAATCAGGCCAAATACGCGCTTTCGATAAAACAGTGCATCATGGGTAATCAGGATCTCCGCGAGGGATTGTTTGTGTTGCTAGTAAACAGAGCCCAGAGACCACGCTTACCATACTTCTTTCGCTATTTGGAAACTTCGAATTGAACCAGACACGCGTCCATTTACGAATAAGGTAAGAATTCTTCGTTTAGACTTTGTTTAGCTATTTTTTCCAACAATCCCTTTGAATATTGATTGTCGTAAAACAGAGGAACTCGTGGTTATGTCGATGTTGTTAGGCCCACCGAAGATTTTGGCCGGCATCGCATGACATCTAAAGGTTTTCTTAATGCAAAATACTCATCATTAATTCCGCTGCTTCAAAGCAAATAAGTTCATAAAGAATATTATCAACGCTAGTAGCCAATTTCCATACAGAGGTGTTGCAAATTATTTCAGTTTTAATAGTTTTCAACTTCCCTATAAGTTATAGTATTATTTGGTCGGAGTTGTTTCAAAAAAATTTGTTGAATTAAACAGTTATCACAGATAGTAAATATTCCCCTTCTAGCTCAGAATGCCTCACTACAGGTGCTGTGTTGGTGGATGCGACAATGACAACAAATATCCAGATAAGATAGTCAAGAGGAGTCATGTAGAGGGAGAGCTCAAATGGCACTACATGACAAAAGATCCTGCAAAACGTGTCATTTGGGAGAACAATATTGGCAAAGGACGAAAAGATTTTAAGGCTACTGATCATCAAGTGGTCTGCTCCAATCATTTTCAGTTTGGAAAGCCAACATTTTCATATCCAAACCCAACATTGTATCTTAAAGTGAGTGATGGTACAAAAAAGTCTCCTAGAAAAAGAAGAAAGATTGTAAAACATTCTTCTGTCAACGATGATCAGACATCTTCTCAAGGGACTTCAGGGGTCAATGATTATCAGACAGAGAGACCGTTTGCAAGTCCATGCATAAAATTTGAAAAACTTACAAGGGACAGTGATGTCAAATTGTTTACAGGTTTGGAGAATGCTGAAGTTTTTCAAGCTGTTTTTGAGTACCTTCAGCCACAGGCTGTGACAATGGTCTATTGGAGAGGCCCAAAGAATACTTCAGTCAGCCTCTTCAAAAGACATAGTATCCATGGAAATAGGAAACTTCTCCTTGAGGAAGAATTGTTCATGGTCATGCAAAGGCTGAGACTTGGTTTGCTGACCGAGTACCTTGCTCATACATTTAGTATTAGCACAAGCCAAGTCAGCTCTATACTGTTTACCTGGTTTCGCCTGATGTCCTTAGAGCTGAAACCATTCATAGCATGGCCTGACGGATTTCAAATTCAACCAAATTTGCCTGATGTATTTCGGCGATATTATAAGAAGTGCAGAGTAATTATTGATTGCACAGAGCTTTTTATTGAGACCCCTTCAAGCCTCAAAGCACAGGCCCTTTGCTGGAGTGAATACAAGCACCATTCAACAGTGAAGGTGTTGTTGGGAATAACGCCCAATGGAGCATTCAGTTATGTTTCAGATGCATATGGTGGCAGAGCTAGTGATAAGTGCATAGTAGAAAGTTCAGACTTTTTACAACTACTTCAACCAGGTGATGCAGTGATGGCTGACAGAGGCTTCAAAATAGAGGATTTATTAGCTTTTTACCAGTGCACCCTTGCAAGACCACCATCAACCCAGAAGAACTTACAACTGAATGAGATAGATGTAGCTAAGACATCCAGGGTTGCAAATGCAAGAATATATATTGAACAAGCTATCCGTAAACTAAAGGAGTTCCAAATTTTAAAAAATGAACTGCCAATTTCCTTACTTCCTGTTGTTAATGATATTGTAAAAGTATGTGCAGCACTTGTAAACTTCCAAAAACCTCTTGTATCTTAAACTTTTAAGTTTATTTTCACATCTTAAAAGGATTCCTATATAAAAACGTAGTTTTTTAAGATGCACCTTCAATTTCATTAAAAATAACCTTGTCCAAACACATGCTAAAACCTTCCAACAAATAACTTCCCATACTTCCCTTTTTAAAAGCAAAATTATAATTTTGAGTTTTGAATTTTTAAAGGAGTAATGTGCCCATGAATATTAATTGTTTGTTTTTGGTTTTGTTGATATTCTAAGTGCATTTGAGTGCCATTAAGACCACTTGAAATTCATTGAAAAAGTTATTCATTGCATTTGTGAAAAGTTTATTATTTTTAAATACAATCATTCTATCACAGTTCATGGTCAAAGGGTTTCTGTGAAGGTTTAAGACAAAAGAATGTTTGACTTTTTTAATGCTTCACTTAACATTATCATATCAAATAATTAATAATCATTTTGTGTCATTAGGTTTTTTAATTGTTTCTTCTAACACTGAGTGTTCTCTTTGCCTGTTTCTTTAAACACCACAGTCGTCACAAACCCAAAAGGACATCAGACTGTAATTTTTACAGCAGCTTTTGTGAAATGTCAAGGAACATTTGCTGCAGTGTACCTGATCATTGCTCTGGCAACCACTTTGAGCAATCTCATTTTGCTCAAGAATGTGTTCATGACATACAGCACAAAACTTAATTTCTCTAATCCCCAGCAAAACCTTTGCAACATAAAGTTTGAAAAACAAAACAAGGTCTGGGTAGAGTAAATTCCAGAAACTAGGATCAAATACCACATTGAGTACAAGGGGTCTGCCAACTGTTGTAAATACAACAAAATATGAATGTTTGCAATCATTTGCAGCCATCTGACCTTGTACCTGAGTGTAGTACTTATGACTCTTGTTTAAGTGCAAAATTCCAGCCTCTTGCTTCAAGTATGGTAGATCTTGCCACTTATCACTAACGCAGTAGTTTCTTATAGAATATGGACATTTGTACTCCACACATGCCACTTCACAACAGGCACAAGAAAATATGTTGTCAGCACTGGCAGCAAGGAAAGGTGCACTCTTAAAAGCTTTGAGTCCACACATTCTTAACTTTGGGGATTTGTGCTCTGCTGCAATGGCTTGGAAAAATGCCTCTCTGGCATTGTTCTCATTTTGCTTCCCCCATTTTATCGCAACAATGTTGTCAATTTTTGTGGCTTGAGTCAGTTTTACCAAAAGAGGAGTTGTAGCTGGCTTAACAGAGCTTCTTGATGCAAGTATTTCTTTCATCTTGGTCTTCACATCATGAAAGTTTGAAGCAGTAATTCGTCCTGTTCTTTGAACTGTCCACATTTTGTTATCTGCTTGCCCCTTTGTGAGCGTTTCAAGTTCACCTAACTGACTATCCCTGAATGAGATCTTATTCATAAAGTCTTCTAGCATGGCAACTTCTGACAGACCGGCTGTTGATTTAACTTGCTCTGCAATTTCAGTGATTGGTGGAGGGCAGTCATTTTCTTCATCAACTGGAAAGTTCAGCAAAACTGCAGAATTTGGTGCACATTTTCGAATTTTTTCTAAAAATGTTTGAATTCTAACTGCACTGTCAGACTCTTCTATGGTTTGATGACGAAGACGTGGATCAAAATTTGACTTCTCTTGATTCATTATTTGATATTTTGGATCCTTGTTCATTATGTCATGTTTGACTATTGGTAGATCAACAACCTTCTTTGGCTCAATATCATACCTCGTTTTATCATTAAATTTACATGCTACTTCAGTGCACGATGGACTGTTTAAGCTATGCTCGCATGCAAAATTCACCTTATACAGAATGGATATTATATGGTTGCAAGATTTAGAGTAACCAGCTATGCACGTACAGTGGGCTGTTAAAACACCATTGTGTTTTGAAAAGAGAATCCAGCCTTCTCTTGGTCTCTCATTCACCCTCATTGATGGGACAACACATGCCTTGAAGAACATTTGTTCATCATTTATCATATATTGATATATTTGCTGCACGTGTCCACTCTGGAAATATGAATAGGCCTTTCGTGCTTTGTATTGGCCAATATAGTTGCCTTCGAAGGCTTTATTGTCAATAACATATTGAAAAATTTGCCCAGGATTTAGATTAGGCCATTTTTTAACATCAGTGGACCATAAATGGTTTGGAATTTTCAGTGGGTCTTGTATGGTAAACTTCTCTAGTAACTCGTTGTACTCTTTTTCCAACTTCTGTGCGCTATCTTCTGCACTTTGTGTAACAGGCTCACCATTTTCAAATGCAACTAATGCTCTTGCAGCCAAATCCTTTTTATTGCCAGTTGTTGACTTGCCCCGCACTTTTAAAAAATTTTTCAGCCTTTCTTGGTTCCACTCCAGAAAATCATTGAAGTCCATACCAAAGTCTCGACTTTTAGCATCAGCCGTTGCCATCTTCCCTAAAAATCAATTCAAACATTTGGCTGAATTCTTTTCCATCGGTAGAGAATGACTTATGATCTTCTGCAATTTAGATTGTCTGGTTTACTTGAATCAAGAAAAAAGCTGAGCTTAAGTAATTTGACAGAAGTGTTATGTCCACAAGCAAAGCGAAGCGGTTAACCTACACAAATAAATAACCAAAACAAAAATTGGTAAAAATCTTCAGGGGCCTAACAACATCGTAATAACCATGAGTTCCTCTGTTTTATGACAATCAATGTTCAAAGGGATTGTTGGAAAAAAGTTAGCTAAACAAAGTCCAAACGAAGGATTCTTACCTTATTCGTGAATCGATGCGTGTCGGACTCAATTCGAAGTTTCCAAATAGCGAAAGTATGGTAAGCGTAGTCTCTGGGCTCTGTTTACTAGCAACGCAAACAATCCCTCGCGGAGATCCTGATTACCCATGATGCACTGTTTTATCGAAAGCGCGTATTACACAACTAGGACCATATTAAATATGACACAAATACACAACTAGGCCATTGGACAAAAAACTTACGATTCATTGTTGACTGAACAAGACTGAGCATTGCCTTTTTTGTTCTTCGTTTTTTTCTTAGGTTTTTGTTCTTCGACTTGTTCAACGCAAGTCGCATGCTCGATCGTTCCACACATTTGAATCTTCAAGGCCTTTTGTGGCTACAGTATCATCACAGATCGGTCCAGTGGCCTCTTTTCTCTGCCAGTTGAAAACGAGAATTGTATGTACAGACAGCGCAGCGCCAGAAAAAATTGAGTGAACTTGCAACAAAGGATGCCAACGCGAGTGACCTTCTGGTCATTTCTATTCTGTGGCGATACCCAGGTATTGCTTCTCGGCCCTTTTTGCTAAGATTAGCCCAACAAGTGGAGCAGCGAAGTTTTGAAGAGGAGTTGGAGAAAATTGGACAGGAGCAACAAGTAAAGGGTGAGTTGTTTGGCGTTGCTTGTGGGACAATAAAGAGTTTACAAAACAAGACGCGACAGATCGAGACGAGCTGAAAAGTTCTGGAATCTAGTCATTCCGATGCGTTGACCTTTTTCCTGTTACGATTCACAACGTGCCTGTCACAACGCATTAGAAGTTGGCACCAAATTCGGTTTACTCGAAGCTGCAGAATGGCGAACAATTTATTCATCGTGCTGGAGGAAAATATGGAAGATGTATAGGACTACCTTCTATTACATCATGGTCACCCAAACAACGTTAATCTTCATTTAGAGCTTCCATAATTTAAATATGAGCGTTTTAGCAGCTTACAGATTCAGATGTTTCTTTCTCCTTTTCTGCAAATCTATCACCAGCCCTGGCCATTTCACTCTGTGCCTCATCCCCCCTTTCAATAATATCCTGAATCGCTTGCTCCAATTCAGTTGGCTCTGGTGGGCTGATACCACTGGCACGCTCTTCTTCTGACATCTTTTTTTTAAAGCCTCGTTCAAGCTTCAAAACTCGGTCCCTCACTGCTCTTTGATCAACAGAGAAACGTGGTTCAACTATCTTATTTAAATTGGTAGCCACCTTATCCCAAACGTGACCACGCTCTCGAGTACCCATTTTAAAATGAAAGGGCTCCTCAACAAGGATCTATCTACAGAGCAGCGTGTCATGCTCTAAGGTCCATGTCTTTTTTGGCATAATTAATAGAACATAAGAATAGAAAAAACACAATAAGCACTCATATCTGATCCAAATCATGAATTAATATATATTCGCAAATTTCAGACTAATAAACAATTGTACCACAATCAACAACACATAATCAAATTTAATGGCAACATGGAATATAATGGATTTCTTTATGGCAATTTTCATTTTGTTGGATTTTAAGGAAAAACGGTAAAATACATTTCTAAAAATAAATGAACAGCTACTCTCAGTTGAGATATGAATAACAAAAAAATAGCACTGTCACAATATAACTTCCTTTGCATAAATTTAGATAGAAATCATTTAGGGCTAGCCCATTAGCTTAGTAGAACGCCTGACATTAGTTTTACTATCTGCCTCAACTTAAAGTGCCTCTCCACCTAAAATCTTTTATGACGTTTATCGATAGGATACTAAACATACATTACGTCAATCAAAACTATTTCGCAATTTGACTTATAGTTTTTGTTTTCTAATGCGTCAAAGTTGTAAATATTGACGCATTACGTAATCAGTTTCGATTCAGCGCCGCGCTGCGAATGAATGAAAAGTGGCCTCGGTCGAATGTTTCTGACGTCATACCGGGAACCAAAAAAATGTATATAAGGCCAGCATACATGGAAGGCTATTGAAAAACTAAATCAATATGCCGGCAAGGTGCATTTTACCAACTTGCAGTAACATACCCGATAAGAATCGATGTATTGCACTTCATCCAGTGCCGTTTTACAACGATGATCGCCCTGAGGCTAAAAGAAGACGCAAGAGATGGATCGACTTCATCAACTCGAAACGGGCTGATCAGTGGACAGCATCTAAACATTCGGTCATCTGCTCTGCACACTTCACCCCAGACAGTTTCACTAGGAAAATTTTGCTCCCAGGGACAAGCCCACGGCTTATTACTGATGAAGTTGGGGTAGTACCGTATCCGACCATATTAGAGTCAAACAACACGGCGAAAGACAGAGAAGGAATGATGACGGACCGAACGTGAAGAAAGGTAGGGGTTATAGAAACCACGATATTTTCTCCAGTGTTAGATTTATCAGGGTAGTCGTCTTATGAAATATATTCGAATTTATTTAATATTTACATCAATGTTGGCCAAATAAGATCATTAATCTATTTGCGGTGTGTTTCTTTTCATGGTTAGATTTACAACAACATTTCGGCCTACAGGCCTAAATAAAAATTAGCTACCGGCATTTTGAAGTTAGGCACTGTTTTGTGTCGTATTTGTAGCAGATTTTGAACGAGAGCAATAAGGTATTATTTTTTTATATTGTTAGGTCCTGAGAGGGTCTAGAACAATCCCATTGGGCAAAGCCAAAGGGAATTCTACCACGGATTCAACCATAGGCCTAGATAACCTCGCTGCAACCGACGAACAGCCAAATGTTGCTGGTCATTCAATGGAAGACGAAAACTACATGGATAATGAATCATATAATCCAGAGGTATTGAAGAAAACAATTATTCAGATTTCTATCGTTAAATTTGTTTTTAATTAGTAGATTTTCATGATTTTGCACATTTGAAAACACGCCCCCCCCTGTAACTCTTGCACCTAATTATTTTCTAGGTACAACAACATCAAATTCCTAGTGTCAGCAACAAAGAAGCTTGTCCCAGCTGCACTGCTCTTTTAAAACAGAATCGTATTGCGAGGAATCGAATCGTCACTTTAAGGGTACTGTTATCAAAACAAAGACTGAAAAATCAAAAATTGACAAGTAAGTTCAAAGAAATGTACTATGTAAGTATTGAAATCAATGACGTCAGAGAAGGGTGGGTGCGGCATCACCGTGTCAGAAATTTTTATATATTGAGCAAGAAAAAAATCAATTTTTATCATAGTAAGGTTTTATAAAGGATAAGAAAAAAACTGACACGTTTTTATGTCGCACATTTTTTCGGAGAAATAAACGTTGTTAAATGCTATAAAAGAAGTAGCCTTCAAGAACCCGGTTTAGCCATAATCAGCCAGGAAAAATATTTTTTTTCAAATTTGTAAATAAATTTTTGTTAACATTCCATAATTACCAGGGCAAATAAAATAGGAAAAATGCGGGGGGGGGGGTCTGGGAGGAAGCCTAAGAAGCATGGGCGGATTCAAATGGCAAGAAGTGGGTTGTTAGATTATGATTGGATTTGTGTCACAACATTAAGGTGACTAAAAAATGATGGACACGTCCACTTTCAAATTCAGTTTTTATCTTTGAAGAAACTTTATAAAATAGGTGGGCATTTTTGCTAAACAAACTTGAAACAGAAAACTGCACCAGTCAAGCCCTTCAATAAGGAGGGAGGTCTAGGGATAGAGGGAGGACTGAAAGAAAATCCAGTTTTGGTATTATGGTAAGAATAATTTTATCACAAAATGTTTTTACTACAATGTAGGTTTTTGTTTTTCCCAATTATTTCCCGAATGTGCAATTGATTCTGTTTGATCCAGAAGTTTCTGGCATTCTAAATGGCTTCTAAATGGCTTAAATCCTTCTACAAAGCTTTTCAGCTTAATTTGGCCCTTTAAATTTCAAGGCTTCTGTTTCACTTTTCTCTCTGTGACAAAAGCTGTGGAAAAAATGCCCAAAGTCCAGGGATACCAACTCCCTCTTTCCTGAAAAGATCTGAACAGGGCTTTGCCCCTCCACTAAAGTGCTACCATTATAGCCTTAATTGAGGTAGCAACCTTGCAAAGAAGAGTGCAAATATAATATCATAAAATTGCACAAAGAGCACTGAAAAGCCTATTTTGGAACTGATGCCTATTTAATACTTAGGATGGATCATCACTTGAATCCAGCCATTTTCATTGTGGTGAAAAATTGATTTCAGGGAGAGTAAGGAAAACGAAGAGGTCACCTAAAAAGAGCGATTCTACAAAAATTATGTTCGGTGATCTTCCAAATGAAGCTGATAGTTCTGAGGAAAGTGATAATGAATCATTGGAGGAGCTTGATTTTGATTGTGAGGATGAAGATATGTCAACTTATGAACCATCTGATCATTCAGACACAGAAAGCGATGTAGAAAGTGACACTGAAGAGGCTTCTAGGTAAATTAATTAGTACCAATTACATGTGAAATATGATTGTATACTACCCACCAATTTAAAATCTGGTTTAGTTGTCGCAGACATTACTATGCCATTACTTTTGCTCTGATGAAGCCCCATATGCTGAGGTAAAATATTAGCTATCTTTAATCCACTTGTGTTTCATTGTTGTTTATTATCTGCACATTGCAGTGTTTCTTGTTTTAAACATTACTATTCTATGCAGTTTTGCAGATAATTAGCAAAGAAAACATATCTTTCAAATTGTTTAGTCAAGTTATGCATATGTTCAAAATTTACTTCATTCTGAAACACAGGTTCTTAGCTACAGATGGAAACCTCCGGACAGAACCAAAATTCATCTCATTTTTGGTTCAAATCTTGTTGCTCTTCAAGTTCTGTCATTTCTGCAAGAGTGACAACCCTAACATTAAAGCAACTAAATGTGGAACAATGCTGATTGTTCGGAGCCACTGTATTAACCCAGCATGTCTGAAAGAAGATCTTTGGAGAAGTCAACCGAAAATGACTGGAACTAACATACCTGCCGGCAACTTCCTGCTCTGTATGTCAACCTTGTTAGCTGGGGGCTCAATCTCAAAAGTCAGACAGATTTTCAATCACATGAATCTTTGCACAATCTCGTTCACAACTTTCTTCAAACACCAAAGGGTAAACATGTCAAAATATTAATCAAATTTGCTATTTGAAGCTAATTCTGTTGAATCTAAAATGAGTTGATGCCCCTACTTGGAAATTGATTTTGTTATATTTTGAACCAAAAAAACTGGCTAAGTAATAGTCTCTCTTTATTTTATGACTAAAAACTTCATCCTTGTAGAAATGTGCTGCAGTATAGGGTTCATTTTTTACTATAAGTTTCAGGCAAAATGTTAAGTGGATCACGCAAAATTACAAAGAGGGCACATATGTAGGCCAGGGAAGTAGAGTGGCAAACAAAACAGGCTTAAGAGTTAGAATATTTTCTTGATTATATAGCAAAAGTTTCTTATGAAAGTTTCAGTACACAAAAGTTTGAATTGACAACCAATAGATAACATACAAGTTTCTTTTCCAGGAAAAATTATTTCCAGCTATATATATCCACTGGAAAGTATATCAGGCTGGTCTCCTTAGAGCACTCAAAGACGAAAGCAATCCTGCTGTTCTAGCCGGAGATGCCCGCCATGACAGCATGGGTCACAGTGCAAAATATGGCACTTATTCGGTTTATTCATGCTCTCAGTCGGCTGTGATACATTTTGATCTTGTGCAGGTAACAATTTAATAAAAGACTGTTCTTGAATTTTTTTTGCATTTATATATACAACATATGAGACAGGCGATTCAGGCATGCAATACACAAGTATCTACTTCGAATCATCCAAAAATACCCATGATATTATACTTCTTGTGGTAATACAGAAAAGCCCATTTTAATACTTTGTACATAATTTACATTCCAGAGAAATCAAGCTGGTAGCAGCAGTGCTATGGAATTATATGGATTCAAACTCTGTCTAGAGACTTTACTGAGAGATGTCCCAATTTCCAAATTTGTCTCAGATCGCCACATAGGCATATCAAGCTTTATACAAGAGAACCATCCAGAAATAATTCATCGTTATGACATCTGGCATGTTGCAAAAAGTATGTTTAACAGCTTTCTTTGTATAATTGCCTTGCAAACGTTTTCAAAGAGTGTTTTCTTTTTTGTTTATTATGATTCACAACTTCCTTCCATTATTAGCACAATTGCAAATCTTACCATTATTAACACAATTGCAAATCTTATAATTTTTTATTTTTGACTTCAGAAGTAAATAAAATGTTAACAAAACTTGGCAAAGAAAAGGGTTGTGAAGTCATCAACGAGTGGATACGATCATGTGTTAATCATGTGTATTGGAGTGCCACAACAACCATGGATGGGAATGGTGATGTGATACTTGCCAAGTACAAAGCCTTTTTAAGCCACATACTAAATAAGCACGAGAATCTACCCGACCCATTATTCAGTAGTTGCAGTCATGGTCCAGATTTAACAAAGCGCAAATGGTTGTTAAAAGGTTAGTTATGAAAATTTTTAATCATTCGAAAGTAGAAGCTCATTCAATGTACAGTACTAATGCAAATCTTAAACCTGTCTGTCATTTTATCAACATGTCATTTAACTGCAGATTCTGATGCATACGAAAAAGTCTGCAAAGCCCTGACAAAGCCAGGATTCCTAAAAGGCATAAAGAAGCTTTCAAATGATGCGCAGACTAGCTGTTTGGAAGGTTTTCATTCTGTAGTCAATCAATTTGCACCAAAGATGATTTGTTATTCATATGTTGGAATGTACTGCAGGTAACAAATTAATATACAAGTCAGTTTTGATAAAGATTCAGAATCCCTGAAATCAAAAGGTTTTTTTACCCTTTCTTTCCTTTTGAGATGATGTTCGCGCTAGTGAGCGGACGTGTTTTATTTGGCGGTAACATGAAAGAACTTGAAATACTTCACGCTGTCAAATAACTAATTTGGTGAACTCTTTTTATGTTTTTTTTTCTTTTAATTTTATGTTTTAAAATGACACAGAGTTTAAATAATATTTATAAAAATGGAGATGAATAAAGAAATCAAAGACTTCATTTTACAAAGCTTGAGTGCTGTGGAAAATCGCCTTGGTAAAACAATTGCTGGAATCCAAGACACAGTAAAAACAGAAATAGAAAATACTCTTGGCTCTCGTCTAACAAACATTGAAAAAAAACTGGTTGACATTGAAAACTCTCAACAATTTCAAGCCGACCAATACGAAACTTTTCGGACACAAGTTGGGAATCTTATGCGTGAGAACATTGATCTGAAAAAGGAAAACGAAAGTTTGGCCTCTCGTATCATCAAGCTAGAGAAGAAAGACGATCAACGTGCTAAAACAATTGATGACCTTGAGCAGTATGGTAGGAGAGAAATGCTCGAGTTTGGTGGTATTCCGCGCGATGATAAGGAAAATTGTGAAGTAATAGTCCTTAACATAGCAGAAAAAATTGATATCCCACTAAAGGAAGACGACATCGAAGCATGCCATCGCATTTCACGCAGGCCTGATGCCCCTATAATCGTCAAATTCAAATCGAGGAAAAAGAAGGAGCAATTCATGTCAAAAGAGTCAAAAACCAAAGCTAAGAAACTTCGCACCACAGATCTCGGTTACGATTTGCAGCCCGACCCTAATAACCCAAACAAAGGAAAAATCTTCATCAACGAAAGCCTGACCAGCCGTCTCAAAAACCTACTGCGCCTAACGAAGATCAAAAAACAAGAAATGAACATTAAATTCATCTGGACACGAAATGGCTCAATATTCTTACGAAAAGATGAAAAGGCCCCAGCCCTTAAGGTAAATTTCATTGCGGACCTGGATAAAATAGAGTGAGATACTTTTTTTCCTTTTCCTCTGTTCAGCCATTATTCAAAAACAGTTTTTATTAATTTTATATCTAATTTATGTAACTTTCAAATACCTACAAACAACCCTTAAAAATAAAAATGAGTGAAAACAGACTCTGCCCTAGGTGTAAAAAAATAGTCTGCGATAATCACAACTCAATTTGTTGTGATTTCTGTGATTTCTGGTTTCATTTAAAATGTTCAGGTTTAAAAAAAAAGGATTTTAAGATTCTCGCAAACGACGAAGTTAGTACTTGGTCTTGCCGCCCATGCCGCAACACCGTGTTTCCTTTTCAAAACCTTGATGACGCCAAACTCAATAGGGAGCTTAATTTTACTGCAAGTGCTAAATCCGTCTCCAAATTCAATCTTATCACATCTGCATCAACAGGATATGACAAAACTTGTTCGGTCTGTAAGAAGTCTATCCGCTCTGCCATAAATTCCATTCCCTGTGGTCAATGCCTTCATCTCATTCACAAAAAATGTGCCAAGTTAAACACTTTCTGTATAAATGAAGTTGATTCTCATTTAACATCTTGGCAATGTCCACACTGCATCTCTAGTCTATTATCTTCACTTCCTTTCTCGCAGATCGACAACGATGAACTGTCTACTCTTTCTTTCAACTCCAATTTCTCATGTAAATGTCAATCCTCGGGTATCTCCCTAGTAAACTATAGTCACCTTGATAGCCTTAAAACTTGTAAACTAGCTTTTAAAGAACACGAAATGCTATTCAAAAATGATGTTGATACCAATCTAGATGACAGCACTAATTTTAACTACTATGATAACCATGAATTCCATAAACTTACTCAAAAGCTAAACCTAAATAAAAATAATACCTCGGGTATTCTACACACAAACATCTCCTCCGTCCGGAAAAATCTTGGAAACCTACAAACTCTGCTCTGTAACCTTGACTATAGATTTGATATTCTAGCACTTACTGAAACTTGGCACACCAAGCAAAACAATGCCTGTATAAGTCAGCTCAGGTTAGAAGGCTACCATGACTATCAAGGACTAACAGGCAATAGCCTTAAGGGTGGCTGTGGCCTTTTTCTAGCTGACCACCTATCTTTTCTTCGACGTGACGATCTTTCAAAAGCTTCAAAAGATAAAAATTGCGAATTCGAATCACTCTGGATTGAGATTAATAACCCTAAGGGAAAAAATACCTTGATCGGTGTTGCATACAAGCATCCCTGCAAAGATTCTTCAGGTTTTTTAAAATACCTTGAAACTGTTCTTAACAAAATAGGCCGAGAAAACAAATTAGTCATACTAAGCGGAGATTTCAACCTTAACCTTCTAAAATTTGATAAAATACCATGTGCTGATTCCTTTCTTAACTTAATGCTTGCAAACTTTCTAAAACCATTAATTATCCAACCAACGAGAATAAATGATACTTCTACTCCTAGTTTAATTGATAATATATTCATCAATTCTCTTCAACTGAACGCAGTTAGTGGAAATCTTATCGATAAGGTTTCAGATCATCTACCCAATTTCGTAATTTATGATGGAAAAGGTAAAAATAACACCAAGACATATCAATGTCGCGAGATTATCGAAACTTTGTTAATAAAAATTACATAGATGATATCAATAAAATAGATTTTAATTCTAGTCTTGTAAACTCAAATGACCTAGATACAAAATATAACTTGTTTCAATCTCAGCTGTTAACTATTATTAATA